TAGCCTCGCAATAGAGAAAAAAAAATATTCTCTAAGGGGAAAGAAATAATAAAATCAAGCTGGTTTATGGTTTGTCAGTCCAAAAAGCTTTTAAGCTGTATCTATAAAGGTGTTTTTTACTTAATGTTTGTTMTGCATTTCAGGCATCATTGTGTGATAAGTGGTATAAATTTAGCCCCTTTAAGTCTGATCTCCYAGGGGTTGAGATTTAAGTGTTGGAACGAACTGTATTTGAAAGGACTCTATTGATTGGGCTTTGATTTGGTCCTTCCTGACCAAAGAGAGATACTAAATAATGGCTGGCTTCCCTGTTTTTATTTTTTTTATTTTTTAAGGTTCACTTTATAGGCTTCTCCTCCCCACCCCAGCCCATTCTCTGCCTCCTAACTGTTCTTCTTAAAAAGACTAACATGGTATTAGAGAGAGGAAAAGAGAGAAAGARAAATCAACTGTCACATTGTGAACATAATTGATTCAATAAATAACGTCTTTCAATTCCCAGGGCAAACCTCAGAGTCCTCGCTGATGTCAATTAGTGCTCAGCTCAGTAAGTGGTGGCGGTCTTCATTTAGACAGATGGGAGAGTTCACAGACTCCCACCTCTCAAGGAAGGAATGTGCTTTTCTTCCTTTAAAGACATACTAGCTGGATTGATGCACCTGCTCTGCAAAACAGAAGTTTGAAAAGGAATTTATGTGGGAGTTTTTAGTATTCCTAAAAGTAGAGTGAGGACATTTAATTACTGTCCAGGGGTTTGTTAAAACAAAACAAAACAACAACAAAAACAAAACAAAATAAGAACAGGAAAATAAAAATTGCCTAGAATTCAYAGGTCTGTAAGCTCTATGATGGTGGGGCCTGTCTTGTTTTTTTGCCATTTAATCTCTAATGCACACGGTAGGTGCATAATAAATATATTAATTGGATTGGGTTTTGAATGCATGAGGACAGAAATGAGTACAATCCAGGACTTATGTTAAGAATTTGACATACTTATGTATATTATGTCAGAATGGATTCTATGCTCATGTATAACTAAAAAGAACCAATAAAAAACTAAAAAAAAAGTAAGGCCATCAATCAATGAATGGCTAAAGAAAATGTGGCATATTACATGATGGAATTTTATTGTCATAAAAAAATCAAATTATGTTATTTGCAGGAAAATGGATGGAACTAGTGACCATTATGTTAAGCAAAATAAGCCAAACTTAGGTCAAGTGTTGCATGTTTTCTTCTCACATGTGGAAGCTAGAGAGGAAAAAGGAAAATAAAGGTGGGGGACGACGTGTCTCATGAAAATCAAAGGGAGATGGGTAGAGTAAAGGGATGGGGAGGGAGGAGGAGAGGGAAAGGGGAAATAGTGGGGAATGATATTGGCCAGATTATATTGTTATATTTTGTGCATGTACAAATATGTAACAACAAATCCCACAATTATGTACAAATATAATGCACCAATAAAATATGGAAAAATATTAATAAAGGAGAAAAGAAAGAAAAACAGATATGCATTAAAAAAAAAAGAGTTCAGTTAATTTTTGTTCCTCTGATTGTTTCATCCCCTGCCTCTGCTTCTTTCTCCCAATTATTTAAAGGAGAATAATTCCAAAGAGTACAGTACATATTGCATCTTCAGAAGTGATTAAGGAGACCCTACTTCATCAGTTCCCAGACTGGTAGAGTTGGAAAGGGATCTCAGAGGTGGTATGAAGCTGCTACTTACAAATTCCAGTATGTGAACTTGTGTTTCAGAATCACATGGAGCATGTTATAAATGCACAGATACCAGGCCTCAGTCCTGGGATTTCTGATGGAGTCACTGGTAGGGAGTCTATTTGAAAGTTTATTTGCTTTTGTGGATTGCTGTAGAAATTCTGGTGTGCAGAGGGTGTAGAAGACACTAATCCAATTTGCCTTGCAGACCCCTGACCTCTGTGGTCTGAGGCACTCCTTAGTAAARTGAGCAGCCTAAGGTACCCAGCAGAATGGCTGGTGGAGCAGTGACTAGGACTCAGGTCTCCTGGCTCGGATGACAGCATCTTGGGTAGTTTGCTGCTGTGCTTTGGCTAATGCTCCATGGCACTGGATATGTCTCAATTTTTCTTCCAAGACAATGGCTGTGTTTGGGGTGATGGCCCTGGCAGAATCTGAAGAACCTTCTGGATCAGAACTCATTCATTCTACTTTGGTGTTAATATATTCTATTGTTTTCTCTAGTGATGCCTTTGATTACCCCCATCTCCATCCTTTGGCTCAGAAGGAGTAGGAAGTCCTTGCCTTTCTTCTGTAAGCCATTCAGTGTTTTCCAGCCCTGCTTGATCATAAGAGAATCATATGAGTGCTCATTCTGGGTGTAGGGACCCAGGGCCTGCTTGAGTCCTGTTACAGCAGAATCTTCCTGGGAGGGGTTTGGGAACTGTATTATTATTATTATTATTATTATTATTATTATTATTATTATTATTATTTTGGTGCTGGGGATTGAAACCAGGGACATTTTGCTACCAAGTTATGTCCCTAGTCCTTTTTTATTTTTATTTAATTTTAATTTAGTTTTATTTTGAGACAGGCTCTCACTAAATTACTGAGGTTGGCTTCAAACTTGTGATCCTCCTACTTCGGTCTCCTGAGTCACTGGGATTATAGGTGTGTGCCACCATGCCCAGCAGGGGACTGTATTTTACATTCCATTCCTAATTTTTTTTGGAGTAAGTATTTAATAACCACATTTTATTTAAATAAATCCTCCAGTAAAGAAATGGAGAATTTACTGCYTTTACTGTGTACATAGATATGTCAAATTTACATGTGCAGCTCTCCAACATTCCCCTTATTGGAAACATCCATATTTCCACATCACAGTTCCCAGAAAGACTTAAATGTCTCAAAATTCTGTATCTCCTTTGGCTTGTTTTTYTCTTGATACCACCCAGGCTTTATTAATGGTTCACTTCATATCATCATCTCCATCTTCATAAATTTTCTTTAGAACATTCATTAATCCCTCGCTAGGATCTGTTTCGGTGTYATATGAAGGCTTTTCTTTCTCTTTGCATTCTTTTTCCCACCTGAGTCAAGTACTCTCACCGTTGTGTTTTCTGCTTTCTTTCTACGTAAGATGAGAACTGTGTCAGTCTTAACTGTTTTTGAACTGCCTTCCTCAGAGATGGGTTTCAAGAGATTGTTCAGAATCATGGAGTAACTCTTCCCATTTAGAGTCTTTACCAAAAATCAAACGAACCTCACTGTGAAATGAACCTGCACATTCTCAGCGGGAATCTGATGAACTCCYRTTAAAGTGATATCATTTTYACAAACTTATCGGATTGATCCCATCCATAATTACTGATTTTCACGGTMTATCTGTTGTAATGGGAGCAACCACAGCAGCTGGCTTTTCCTCCTCAAGAAGTTCTGGTTTCTTCTGTCATTTCTGTTGCATCTTGTCCTTTATTTCTGTATCTGTTTTTTTTCCCCTGCTGTAAGAGCATCAYGTACTCTTTTTCTAGTAGTTTTTTCCAGCAACACCTTTACCTCTTCTAGATCTTTCTGTAGCTCGTCCAGAGCTGAAGCCATGGTCTGGCTGGGTCAGGCCGCAGGCCCGTGCTGCAGCCATCCAGTGTCAGGAAACACTGCAACGAGCATGTAGACCCATGGAGAACTGGCAGGCGCAGCCCACGTGCACACAGACCCTGAGCCAGATCTTGGCTCCCCCACGTATGTTGGAGCCTCTGGAACCTTTGCGAGGCCGCAGCCCCACTGGCCCTACCCCACCGAGCCCCCTCCGGTCATGATTTTTATTCTCTTCAAATGCTTTTCCAGCCTCTGTCTCTGAGAATAGTGAATCCCCAGACTCAGCTTTGAGGCCCTGAAGACCCTCTTTCAAATTTATGATTCCAACTTGCCTGCCGAAGAACTTGCCCTTGAAGGAGGAAAAGATAGATCTATCTACTTTCCTCCAAGGTAGAATTTTACTGCACAGGGCAGGGGTATAGGAGGTTGGCTGGACAGTTGTGGATGGAGTGGAGCTGGAAGGTTAAGAGGTATCTCTAGAACCGGAGCAGAGGGCCTGTTAGCCTTCCCTGGCCTGTCTCTAGAAAGCTGTATGACTTTGAGCAAATTGCTGAAAACCTTTTGAGTTTGTTTCCTCATTAGTAAACTGTGGGTAAGAATACTACTTGCTGGAGGGTTTTGTGTGTATCAGACAAGGGGTTGGAGATGAGCTCTGGGTACACAGGCTCAGAGATGGAGGTTTGCATGCAGAGTGTATTGGAGATAWCTTACAGGAGGAACTCCATGACAGAATGAGGGAAGCAGGATCAGGAGAAGGTGACGTTGACCAGGGTGAAGTTGCAGCAAAGTCTCAGCTCCTGCTGTGGAGCGCAACAGGGGTGAGGTGCCCTTCAAAATTGTCCTGAATTTTTRTCCTAATATCCAGCAGCTGTTGGATATGGCTGTACCTGGAGGCAGGCATGGCCTCAGCTCCCTTTGGTTGAGGGTGGCCGTGTGCCCACGGCAGCTTACAGTCCTGGTCATTGGGGACAGGAGTGCTTGTGACCTGGAGGGTAACTCACTGGGCACTCCCGCACTCACTGCACTGGTAGCACACAGGATGTCTTGGTAGTGAAGTGAGCACACTTGTCAATGTTAACAAATATTAGCTCATTGCTGTTCCGGCTCTGGCAATGGTGATCGGTAACTGGGCACTTTSAAGAAGTTGCCCAACTTCTCTTGGGCTACCCTTGTATTTACCATGGAGATCCCAAACTCTGCYTTGCCGGTCTCCCTAAAAGGGTCTGAGCACATGTGGAAATATAGTGTAGGTGAAATTTGTGAGTAAAATATTATGAAAATGCATGAGATGACTCTGAGCCTACTTTATCGAAATGAATATCTAGCTGTGATCTGGATTCCTTGAAGGCACAAGGATGTGATAAATGTAAAACTGCTTGTCTGTAAAATATGGCATTTTGATTTTTCTTTCTCTCTCTTTATAGGGAATTAGAATAATGGAGATGCTGCTAAAGGAACAGTGTGGTGCCCCCTTAGCTGAATAAGGAATCATCAGTGAGTACCAAAAGCAAAATCAGAATCATTTACTCAAGCCATGTGTTCATGCTTATGAGCCTGGCATTATGTATCAGCCTCCCTGGGCTATTCATGCTGTATATTTCCCAGCTATGTCTGCAGAATGCTATTTCACAGGTGTTTTGTTATCTATTCAGTACCTTTATTTGCTTGGTTCTTTGATTTTCAGAGCAGTTTTGTACTACGTGCTGGGTCACAACTGCATTCAAATTGTTAAAACTGTTCAGTATAATCTACCCTGATTGAGTCCCTCAAGGTGGCATAGATTTGTAAAGACTGCAGCTCAGGATTAACTGAAGCTTAATATTATTGTTCAGAGAACAACAAAAGCAGATTTAAAACTGTTATTGGAGCAGGAAGGATAACAAGAAGGGAAAATGTTGATTGGCCAGTGAAACAAATGTTATCTTATTAGTCATACAGGTTGAGCATTCCTAATCTGGAAACCCAAAATAAGAAATTCTCCAAAGTCTGAAACTTTTTGAGTGCTGACATGATGTCACAAGCGGAAGATTTTATACCTGACCTACGTGATGATGGCAGTCAAAACCCAGGTGTACTAAAAATATTTCCTAAATTTACCCTTAGGCTATGAGTATGAGGAGTATATGAAACAAAAATAAATTTCATGTTTGGGTCCCATTTCCAGGATATTTCATGACGTAGATGCAAATATTTCCAAATCTGAAAATATGTATGTTCCCAATCCAACATACTTCTGGTCCTAAGCATTGTATAAAGGATACTCAACCCACTGATTGAAGGTGTCTGCCTGAAATGCTATTCTGAAAGATTCTAAAGCTTGGAAATAGTGCTAAGGCTGTGGGTAAGGGTACCTTGAGTGATTGGTAATGTATGCTATGGTCACAGGCAGCAAACAAGACAGCTCTTGTGTATGGCAAATGGTGAAGGATTAACAACAGATACTGGGGAATCACAGAACTATTCATTTTCCCTCCCCTGGTAATTTCTATTGTCTACATCAAGGAGAAAGTTTTTCATAGTGGAAAGGATGGKACAAAGCTATTTAATAGAGAATAAAACCCAAAATAAATGAATAACATCTTGCTGAATTTAAAGGTAGATTTTTAACATTAGAGAGAAGGTAAACCTCCGAGTAAAGCAAACAGTGCTTTGGGTATTTCAGAATTACCTTATGTTGGCTTAAAAACACAGTATATGGTTTTGTATAAGTGTCCTGGTGTTCTAATTGTAATGCACAATGAACTCTGAGAGCAATTTATGAAAGAATAAGCAAAAGGAACCCTTGTATACAAATGCCTTGGTATTCAAAGCATGCTGGCCAGGCTTGTGAATGAACATCAGTTGGAAACTGTAAAGTGTTTCTGTTTTTTGCAGATTGGACTCCATTCTGATTAAGCTTCTATACTTGACACATATTAATAGATTTCATTATTACTGGAAAGGCTAAACAAGATCSTTTTACATAGCACACACGGCAGGTGCTCATAAAATGTCAGAACTTAATCTTAAATGTTTTACTCCCCATTCCTTAAGAAATTGTAGAGAAGAATGTGGCCACGTCACCCGAGGCTCACTGAGCATTGCTTGTATTTGGGCACACATTTTACCCTGGCTGGTGGGATCTAAAGTCAGGTTCTGGTTCTATGAAGGCATGAGGGGCCTCTGRTTACATATACCTATCTGTTTTCAAACTTCAAATTAGTGTCATTAAAACTTTAGCAGACATCAGAATCATCTGGAAGGCTTGTTAAGCACAGAATGGTGATTCAGTAAGTTGGGTGGTCTCCTGATCGTTTGTGTTTCTAGAACACGTTCCRGGTGATGGTGATGGTGGACCCAGGACCACATTTTGAGAGTGACTGCTTTAAATGAGTTCCCATTTTTGGATGGAGTCAGATTCAGTGCTTTGGCACTAGGGAGGCTTACAGCTGGGGTTTTGAAATTGTTGCCCGCATTTGGTCAACTKTAGATTAATTGGAAGAATGGTTTTCTTTGTATGCCTTTTCTCTGATTTTAGCATCTCAGTCTTGCTTGCCTTTTTTGGTGATTTGAATGTTGACAAGCTCTAGGCTGAAGTGGACACAATTGGTAAAAGAGCTGAGACTCAGGTCATCTTGTGCTTTGAAGCAGCTTGGATTTAAAGTGTTGTTAGTAAAGATGAGCAAATTAAATAATTTAGTAGCATTTCCTTTTGATTACCTATTATCTTTTGTGTGTGTGTGTGTGTGTGTGTGTGTGTGTGTGTGTGTGTGTGTGTTTACTGTGGTTGAGGCCTAAGCCATGAATTCAGGGCTTTGCATTGTTTGCAAAAAAAAAGAAAACCAATTAATTCTCCTCTCTTTCAAGTGGAGTGGTGGTTTAGGTCTGGATACAGCCAGGAGATTAGTATAGGATAGTTGCCTTTTTTCGAAGTCAATACAATAGAAGGATTTATATAATAATTTTATATAATTTATATATAATTTATATAATTCAAACTCAAAATTCATAACCAGTTTTCTCAGAGGAGAAAATGTAAAGTGAGCACAYACCCATTAACTCTCACTAATAAATCTACAATTACTGTAAACTTAAGGCTGTTGCTAAGGCTTTAAGTTTTTCTCAAAATTAGCTTCAGTGAGATATCACTTATATACAATTAAATTATATATATAATTTGTGTGTTTGTGTGTATGTGGTGCTGGGGATTGAATCCAGGGCTTTGTGCACGAGAGGCACACTCTCTGCCATAAATGAACTAATTTTAAGAGTACAGTTTGTTGAGTTTTGAAAAATGAGTCATATAAGCATTGCCACAAATATGGTACAGAAAATTTTGAGGCTTTGATGTTACCAGCTTATCCCCTCCCACACAAATTTCTTGACTATTTTTACAAAGCTTTTCCATTTTGAGATGTTTCTGTTTTAATGAAACTTTTTATTTTCTTTAAAATAGCTCTAAGGAAAATGTGGGGATGGTTTTAGGTTGTCAAAGGATTACTTGTTTTTGAGCAGTATAAAGCTATGTTAAAAGAAATGGGACACCATACTTAGACAGTAGGGATGAGAATATGATAGTCCATAAGCTAAATTGAGTCTGCTATCTGCTTTTATAAATAAAGTTTTATTGGGACACAGCTATGTACTTGACTATGTTCAGACTTAAAACAGCAGAGCTGAATACTTGTGATAGTAGAGACCTTAAAGTCTGCAAAGCTTAACATATTTCTTATCTGGCCTTTTAAGGAAAGATTTATTGCTTCCTGAGTTAGCATCCTAAATTAGTCCAAATTAATGTCAAGGAGTGTTGTGATTGCCTTTTTGTGTGTGTGTGATGCTGGGAATCAAACCCAGGACCCTTTGCATGCTACATAAGCACTCTGTCATTGACCTACATTCACAACCTTTTTTATTTTTCATTTCAGTTCATTTATGTATTTTTTTTATTGGTGTTGACCTTTTTTTAAAAAAAAAAAAAAATTCAGTATTTAGCCAGGCACGTTRAAGAATTAAGACTCTCAAAATCAGCCAAACACAGTGGGGCACACCTGTAATCTGAGCAGCTTTGGAGGCTAAGGCAGGACGATCGCAAATTCAAAGCCAGCCTCAGCAACTTAGTGAGACTCTGAGCAACTTAGTGAGACCTTGTCTCAAAATAAAAAGTTAAAAAATGGCTGGGGGTGTGGCTAAGTGGTTAAGTACCCCTGGGTTCAATCCTCATTATAGATAGATAGATAGATAGATAGATAGATAGATAGATAAACAGACAAACAAACAAACAGTATTCATGATATCTTACCTGTGTTCCAAAGTTTATAGTTTGGCAGTTTATTTCCCCTGCATTGAGTCTAGGATTATCACTTTTGTGATTTGGATGATGGTATTTTCAGGATACATAAAAAGTACTAAAATGATAACAGTGAACTTAAAATACCAGCCACAGTGGTCACTAAAATTGCTCATAAAGTTCYAACACACATACCCAGTGGAGTAGAAATACAGGCATTTTGTTAGCAAATAAGTCGCACTGTGATGTGACGGTAGTAGAGGTGCTGTTTATAATTTACACAATATTCTAGACTGTGGAATTTTGCTGCTCTCAATTTTTAAAAGATATTTTGCTGGATTTGTAAAAATGTGCATAAGGAGAGATTACTTAATACTTTATATCAYGCTGTATTTCACGTTTGCATAACTTAAATACACACAGAATGTGACTACATTTTATATGGTTCCTACAATTAAAGATAACTTCCTCAAATTCTCTGACCTGTATATCCAAACGTATATTTGAAAATTAGAAAACTTAGAAGGTGATTTTGTCATGAGCCAAAACGGAGGCACATAAATCTCAGTCGCCAGTATGCTTGTGGCGTTGCTGCTGACACATCATTTGATAGATTTTTGATTTCCTGTCATTTTTGAATAAAACAAATAGCCCTGACATCTGTTTGTTCTTGCCGCTGGCAGTTGGGAGACTGGACTTGTGAGGTTTGATAACACAGCAGCATTCTGTCACATCGTGATGATTAAGACCTCAATTTTAGCTATATCTTAAACTCCTCTCTGAACCAGCTCCTCTAGCTAGTTGGACTTAATAAAATGAGGTGCTGGCTTTGTTCAAAGATCATTAGGWGGTAGGAATGCGATTTCTTCAAGAATTATCCGTAATGATAGAATTCAAGTGACTCTGAGGAGTTGCTTCAGAAAAGAGGGCAAATAAGTATCGATCAGTAGACATGTTTATTAGGTGATAAAGCCTGTTTGTTTTCTCTTRCAGGGGAGCCGTGTCCAAGTGGGCTTCTTTCCAATAATAACTTCTTGGCCACAACACATCGTAGGCACAGTTCCTGGAATACAGGTTTGAGGATACAGTATTGGCAGAATAAAGAAGAGGAGACATCCTTGCCAGGACATAAAACGATACCCTCCCCTTGGAGCCTGCTTCAAATAGTGGGACTCATGGAGATGAGACCATCTAGCTGGATTTTTATGAACAGTCTCTATGATTTTATAAATAAAGAAAAAGATCCATGTGAGATGACATCCACTCTTCCTCAGGATGTCCTGCTACTTGTTTGTGATGGCACCAGGGCAGTCAAAGGCCTGGGCTGGTGGTGCTTGTACCCATATTTTAACAGCATGATTGTTCAAGGGATTCATGAGTGGATTCTGGAACATATAAAGTTGTTGACTTGATTACCTGTTCTAGGGGGCTTGAAACAGGCATGTGCCAGACCTGTGTTGAAGCTAAGCCATATGTATACCAATGTTTAAGATTTTCAGAAATCAAAGACTTTTGATGCATAAGCACTGTTAGCATATCTTTCATAATGTAGCATGAACTGACTGTGCTTGGTGCTCTGGAAGAACATGGAATGGATGGTGGAAGGCAGGTTCTGGTCATGACTCCCAGTAACTCATCCTGTGATATGGAGCAAGCCATTCAGCTCTGCTTTTTTTTTTTTTTTTTTTTTTTTACTGGGAGAGTGGGGATAATCAGGCACAGGTCTTTTGCCTTTGGGTTGTTATGACTAACAAGATAGTTTAGTTTGAAGAACACAGATTTGGGAGTCAGATAGATAGACATGGATTTGAATACAAACCCGTCTACTAGTTCATTGATCACATCCATAAAAATCTTCCTGAAGCTCATTTTTTTTCACAATTTATAAAATGAGGTGATGAGATGAACTCTGTGAGGTTGTTGAACTGCTTTGAGATCACTAATATAAAGTGCTCATCATGTGGCTTGATGCCCAGAAACCCAGTAAATAGAAGCCATTATTATGTAAAACCATATGAACATATAGTTTTCAACTGTAATGTCAGGGAGTGAGTATTTGTTTGAAAATTAGATGACAGTAGTTTGCCTTTCTCATGATGAGAAGCCGAAATATGAAAGCATGCTACCTAACAGAGACATTGAAGAGAGGCAATGATTTGGAATTCATCTTAAGATAAAAATTGGGCCATTACTGGAAATTCTTGGGGAGATTGTTCTTTTTTTAATATTTGAAACATTTCCACTTAGTGCCTTGATGAATTTCAGAGCAATTGTACTTTCTCATACAAGCCTGCCACTGTGAGCCTCCTCTCCTGTACTTGAGCTATTTGTGCTGYTTGAGTCTTGTCTCCTGGGATAATTTCTCTTCCATCTCCTCAGTGTTTTATTCAGTTCTGTTGGAGGGAAAATGAATGGTAGAAACCAGAACACATTTTGACCTTCTCTTCCATTTAGTAAGGTTTTTCCAAAACCTTAATAGCCCCTTTCCAAAAGTAGGAGGTAATATAAATTGTTGAAGGTGAAAGGCAAAAAATTTTATTTGGAGATGGATGTTGGGTATAAGCTTAACCTTTCCTACTGAACAATGTGCATCCTCTGCAGGCCAGAGTTCTCAGCCTTGGCTGTCCATTAGGGTCACTTGGGGAACACAATGCCATCCTGATGAACTGGGCTGCACCTAGATCAAGAAATCAAGACCTCTGTGTTTTCAGAAGTTCCCCATGTGATCCCAAAGGGCATCTAATTTGTAGACATTTATCTGATTTCTTTCATAATRTGTCAGAGGTAGGAAAGGATCTCTGTAACAGGGACTTTTACTAGAAGCAGAGTGTAGCAGAGAGGCTGAATTGGTGCCTTGGTTCCCTGTAGCTGGGGTGGCCAGTGCCAATGTGAGCAGCGACCTGGCAGCTGGTCTGAAAAGTGAAGCAGATAGCTGCTGTTGAGGTCCAGGGAGTGCAGGTCTGGTTGAGAGTAAGCAGCTGCTGTCCAGCACCAGCACAGTGTAGCAGTGTGGCTAGTTTTTCTATTTTATTTTCAATTTTCCAGGAAAAGGAAAAAAAAATTAAAAAGAGATCTCTTAATTTTCATGTTGCAAAAATTTCAGAATTGCTTAAAGCCTCCTTTAGCCAAATAGGTTTGCCAGCCAGTACTTTTCAGCTTGTGTTTGTAGGGTGTTAAGGATTGGCCTGCACATCCCAGCCAATTTTTAATAGATTTGCATGTTTGTATTCTGGACATAAAATGCATCCTGCCTTTCCTCCAAGATTGCTTTTGGATGCATTTTTCTTCCTCGTTCCACAGTAATCCTCTGGACCTGCATCAAACACTTTTCCTCACTCAGTATTTTTCCCCTACAGGCATCTTTTACTTCAAGCTTCATATACATGGTTTTCAAAAACTTATGGAGTTTTCAGAATTAATTAAGGTTTTTTAGATTCATTTAACTTATATGCATATTATAGAATCCCTTCTTTTACTTTGTCATCTGATATGTCGTGTAAGAAATGTCAAAGCCAGGATTGCCGCTTTGATGGACACACTAGGAACAAGAGTGGGAAGGGTAAATTCACAGACCTGCCTGGTCTCCTCCTGACGGGGCCAGTGAGCCTGCCCTTCAAAGAGAGGATGTACCAGACACCCCTGGAGAGATGTGTTGACCTGCAGGTCCGCTGGTCCTTCCCCCAGAGATTCTGACTCATCCACTTTCAGTTGGAATTCAGGATCTGCATTTTGACACAAGTTCTCCAGGAGATTTGGTTGTGCTGTTCCACAGACCACATTTTGAGAAGCACTCATTTGGGAGAGGTATTTTTGGCCTCAATGTCTCCCTCATTTGGGAAAGTTTTACAGTCAGTTTGGCCCCCTGATCAATGCAGTTGATCACTCAGAACTCAATATGAAGTTCCTGTGCAGAGAGAGGCTGACTCAAGCTATCCCTACAGTGATTGAGGTACTTTTCCCAGGAAGGCTGTTAGGATTTAAATTATATATAAATGAAAAAGGTGCTGCATTATTTTTATATGAATTACTTTATGGCTTTTTTTTTTCTTTTTTATGGTACTGGGGATGGAACTCAGGGCCCTGTGCATGCTAAGCACATTCTCTACCACCGAGTTGCACCCCCAGCTCTACTCTGTGTATTTTATAAGCAGCGTATATGTATTAACAATCCCATTTATCAGATTTCGTAGGGCACACAGTATAGACGACTCAAGGTTATTCTTTTAAGTTGGACTCTTTTTTGTTGTTTCGACCATTTCCATGGAATTGTTTCTTAATCTAGTATACGTTTCCCTGCTTTGAAAAACAGAAGCATTGAAGAGAATGAAATGTTTTCAGGTCCTCATTTGTGTTTTTAATTATGACATGCTCTGTCTAGGTTTATTAGAGTTCTTCACTGAATAGCCCCAGATGTATTTGCTCTTTGAGTTCCATGGTGGTTTTAAGAGTTTTTCTTTTCCCTCACTGTTCGCTGTCATTTCTCTCAGCTATTTTGGTGTCTGCCTCTGGAAGCTTCCACTAGTTTGCCGTGGGGTGGGAAAATCGTGTAACTGCATCCTCTACCTCTTGACGTGAACAGCAGCTGAATGAGGCTTTTGGAACATTAAAATGGGTGAACTTTGCTACATTGACTTGTGACATTATTTGTGGCTCGGCTCCCTCCTTCCAACTTATTTTTTGATCTTCAACTGCGGTTGTCAGATCTGCGACCTCAAGATAAGCAAGACGTTGGTAGAAATCATTTCTCCTGATGGATGAACCATTGCTTTTCTCAATTGTGTTAATTTTTTTCTATATACCGTCCTATCATGTGAAATGTAGTGGATTAAAATCCAAATGAAAATTTCTCAGGCCCGGTTTTTATATAGGATAAAATATTTTATATTCAGTATTACTGTGATTTAGATCTATAAATCAGTTGCGTGCCTAAGAAATTCCATCCTGCAGTCTTTCTGAAATAAAGGTGTTACAACCAATATTTATGTGTGAATTCTAATTTCTTGGGGGCATCACATCTTTCGGCATAGTTTGTGTTGATTCTTTCTAGTAAGGATCCCTGTCCAGCTGCCCTGATGAGGGTGATGTAGCTACTGCATGGTGTTAGTTACCTGAAGGTGAGTCAGTAGTCCCAGAAATAAGCAGAGGCCACCATTGTTCGGTGATCTGGGAGGGTCATGTGCTAATGAAACGAAGGACCTGAGTCCACGGAGGGAGAAGAGAGGAAGCACATTGGGAATGAGCAGCAGCACAAAGCTAAGTAGTCCTAGAGAGGAAGGGACAGAGTAGCTTCTCGTTGACCCGTGTGGCTCAGCTATACTTTTTGTACTTGGTTTTTGTAAGATGCACTTTTGTCCTTTTATTTGACCCCTTTAGACTTGGGTTATTTGGTTGGGTTTTTATACCTTGTTACTAAAATGCCTCATCCCAGCCCTATTAATGCTCTTCCTTTCCTCCAGTTAGAGTGTGGTGATGACCTCACTTTTAGGAGTACAGTCCTTGTTTGATCAGCATTTATTGAGAACCAGCTGTATACAACAGAAAGACACGGTTTGTCTTCTCTTTTGACTTTATCCAGTGGATAACTAGAAAGCTTGTGCTTCGTTGCTGATGGCTGGCCAGACCAGATACAGCCATCCTTGTGGGGAGTAAAGCAAATGGTCATGATTTACTTAAAGGATGTAGGAGAGAAAGTCAGTATAGGATGCACAGTGGAGAGATCCACATGAAAATGTGAATTGGCCGGGCAGGTGGTGCACGCCTGTAATTCCAGTGGCGTGGGAGGCTGAGGCAGGAGGACCCGAGTTCAAAGCCATCCTTAGCAAAAGTGAGGTGCTAAGCAACTCAGTGAGATCCTGTTTTAAATAGGGCTGGGGATGTGGCTCAGTGATCGAGTGCCCCTGAGTTCAATCCGTGATACCTCCTCATTCCCCAAATCAACAGCAGGTGCACACTTGTAGATAGAACGTCTGAGTTAGTGTGGGGTATGCCACAACACTTTGGAAGTTGTCAATTTTTTTTTTCTAGACCCAGCCACATAGAAGGGTGGAGCAGGCCCACATGAGATCAGACCAGCYAAGTCAGGAAGGAACTTC